AAGTTAATGATTTCCTTCCTTTTCCTCTCCCACCGCCGGCCAGGTAAACCTACCTGTACCCCACGCTCCCATAACCATCTCCCCTAGCAACTCTCTTCCTTATCACCCTGAAGAAACCCTCCCTTCCCTTCCCCCCTCCCACCACTGCCTTTCCATCCCCACCACCGCCTCTCCCATCCCCACCACTGCCTTTCCATCCCCACCACCGCCTCTCCCATCCCCACCACTGCCTCTCCATCCCCACCACTGCCTCCCACTGCCACCATCTTGCCTCAAGAGGTCACAGCCAAGTTCTCACGCCAAAAATACCTGATGAGTTACTTCATTCTCGCACTAATTAGCTCGACGCTCTCCCTCTCAGGTGGCGCCCCTGTGGAATACTAATGCCTAGGGGGAAGATACTCCCATCCCAGATAAGGTTCCAACTCCATATCGCCGCAAGAACTACATACAACCATATGTAGAGGAATATTTACACAAGTAAATCACATGGCCGGGATTTATATCTATGAGGAAATGATTGCAGCAAGAGAGGGGGGGCTCAAACCAGCGTCCCGGGTAGCCCCCAGACGAGCACCTTGCTCAAGGGTCACGACATAGCTTATGCAATATATTTTGCGTTCACAAGGAGATATTCAGAGTGATGCAAACATAATACAGTTTGAAAACACTGAACTAAAGATGGGAGTAGAGGGTAACCAGTCAACATCTAGTCAACACCGGTAGTAGTCAGACATAGGCAGTCAACACCCGGGAGCATTCAGACGCAGACAGTCAACACCTGATATCTGGCAGACTGAAGCAAGTTACTCCAATCTGTAGCAACTTCGTCCTGTGTGAAGGAACAACCACCAAAGAGTACTCTTATAGCCTTACTTTGCTGACTAATTACCCTCACAACTCAGGAAGGTGTCGGAAAGTGAGGTGATGATCCTCGTCTCGTCGAACACTCACGTGACATAAACATGAGATATAACACCACACTATAAAACATGAAGCGATCGTATTTCGCGCTAAAATAAATAATCTCCCTATGGTACATCACATAAATATTCTTCCAAAATATTAGCACCCGTTACCCCTCTCTTTAGTGTTGTACAGGTAATAATTAATGAGGGCCTTCCCCTCACACATGGAATATATTTATATTATTCCTTCTACCTCATGACACCTTTCATCTCTTCCTCATAAACACCACAAATCTCTCTCTTTGTGAACACCTGGCAAAAATATACATTTAAAATAACTTATTCGTCTAAGAATGATGAAAGAATAACAGTAACACCTTGTTTGGTATTGGTCACTCTGCTGAGTCTTTCATGAGATGCTTCAGGATGAAGTTTCCTGCTCGAAGGCAGTTCCTGTAGATACTTAAAACATATGGGTAATATCCGTAGACTTGCACAATGAACCAATGGATCCCTAAACTAAACCCTTCATATAGTCAAGGGAAACTGCTTAAATGCGAATATAAATGAGAATATTACGCCGATAATAAGAATACATGAAAATATTACGCCGAGAATAAGAATACATGAGAATATTGCGCTAAATACGCCGAGAATAAGCCACAATAACGTCTGTCTTGATCGCATCAGATTCTCTGTGTTGACTCTTAATTCCTTTCCTCTCAAGGCAAATATTTATCTCAAACTTTCAATGTCACTGTGGTAGCTTTCTCCTGTTTCTGCCAGTCTCTGTACATGGAACACGTTGAAACTGTTCTTCTTCTCTCAATTAATATTTTCCCCTCTTTTTGGCTTATGTATGTTGATATTTTTGCTGTTTGGCCTTAGGACTCATTTCCAACCTTTCAAGTATACAACTGCGAAGGAAAGAAGGTCATTTAAGTTCCTTAAGATACGAGTGCATCTTTATGTAGAGTTTCTGTTCATGAGCTCACCCATGGCTATTGAGCTCTGAAAATTTCATCACAGGAGAATAGTGATATATTGCGCTAGGCTGGAGTTGCTATTTATTATAATTACATGTTAATTTTGCTTTATTGTGTAGGTGTAGAAAATATTTTATAAAAAAATTAGATTTAATATACCAGTGTAAATTTAAAATGTCAACGTTGAATATTATATTATCAGACTTTGGAAAATATTATATAATCAAACTTTCGAAAATATTATAATATCAGACTGTTGAAAGTACTGTAATATCAGACTTAAAAGCTATTTTCAATAAAACCTTAAACCAACCAAAATTCTTGTCAATGTCAGAAATATAATTATCTGAAAACAATCACAGCAACAATAGGAGATCATAAATCAATATATATATTATGCATTCGACTTTATTTCCTCCCCCCCAAAAAAAAATATCCCGAAAAAATCCAAGTCAAAAGAAAATGTTGATATCGATTCTGAGCTGCGAAAGCCTGAAGTATAATTACAAATACAACAAAAACACTGATCGTGTCCAATACTGTGACGTGTTTGTCAGTATTCACATTGTAAGAGGTTGTTGTTGTTGGAGCTGCCGGCGGGTGAGG